AAAATGACTGAAAATTGCAAATTTCGCAAGGCTATATTATCCGCATTTTACAACATTTTGCAACGAAACTTTGGAATATTACTAATTTTGTGATGCTCTTTCATGCTATGATGGAATTTTGTCTAGACTTGTTGAGATCAAAATTTGGTTAATTGGGGAATGGTCCATTCATTACGTTTCCAAGTTTGGAAATTAGGTCGCAAAAACAAGTTCGCAAGTTCATTTCAATGTCTGAACTTCTATTGCAAACAAATGTTCACAGTTCAAGTTGAAATTACTGTATTTAACAATTCAATGGAAAGTCCTTGGTTCAGTAATCTACCAAGGTTTGTATTTCATTGAATTGGTTATTATTATTGAGTATGAACATTTGATTACAAGCGATGTTCAAATATTGAAATGAACTTGCGAACTTCGTTGCGAAGTCCGCACCCAAATTGGGACTCGCGCGTTGAAAAGTGACAATGAAATGTCTTCGAGTTTTCAGTTAGCGAAAGCCTTTCACCAATTGATCACAACAAAGTAAAATAAACGTGATTAATATGACTTGTAGATCATTGTCTTGGATACAGATATAATATTTGCGACAGACATCGCAGAACTTTGGGAATTGTTTTCCGAACAATCTTCTAAGCAGGTGAGATACATGTTGCATACTTGCATTTTATTTTCATGACCACGAAAAATGAATTACATACGTAAAAATCTCAAGTTGTTACAGGTCAACTGTCGACAAGTTGTGTTCGCACTGCTTGTTCCCAGTTGTTGTAACAAGTTTGGAACAACCTGTTAACAACTTGTAACAAGCTTGATGGCATTATCAGACTTGTTACAAGGTTGTTCTAACAAGTCTGATACAGTCATGATATAACAAGAATGTTACAAGGTTGACGACACAAGGTTGCAACAATATTGTAAAATCATAACTGTATCGAGGACTTGTTGCAACAACCTTGTAACAAGTCTGATAATATCAACAAAGTTGTTACAAGTTGTTCACAGCTGCTTGTTCCAAACTTGTTGACAATTTGGGACAAGCAGTGCGAACACAACTCGTTGACGGCTTGTTGGCACACTTGCTACAAGATGTGGGACTTTTCCGTGTGTACGTACTGGCGACTCTAATTACCACATTTCAAGCGAAACCCACCGTGTGTTCCTTCTATAGTGTGTTGGTCTGGTTGAAAATCAAAGTGATTGGTACTTGGGAAAGTTATGGAAAAACCACAAACCATGGCCTGCTTTGGTGAGAAAAATCAGAAAATATCATCCACTACAGTATATATATATTGTTTAGGGATCTATAACTATAGTTTAGGGACCGCTCATTATTTTTGGCGGGGGTCAGGGACGCTGGAACGATCATAAGGCAAAGGGGGGGCAGACGCACACCAAGGGCACCTCTATAGAGCAAAAGATAAAAATCTACTGGAAAATTTTTTTTCCTGGAAATTCCCCCCCCCCCCCGTCACCAAAAAAATTTCGGTCAGTGTACCATTTTAAGGGTCAAAAAAATTTTCCGGACATATCAAAATTTTCCATGAAGTCAAAAAATTTATCTAAATTCCAAAAATTTTCTAAAATTTTTGCAAATTTAACTCATTCTTTACCAAATTCAAACTTATTTTTGTAAATTAACTTTCTCTGGGCCTATAAATTACCTGAATCTCATGATTTTCCCAGAAAAAGCATCACTGGAAATGTGATTTATCACGTAGTATTTTACAACTAAAAGGGCACTTCTGCCCCCCCCCCTGCCCCCCTAGCAAAAGGCAAGGGGGGCAGCCCCCCCCCCCCCCCCTGACCCCCAGTTCCGGCGTCCCTGACGGGGGTGGCACACAGCCTAGACCTAGGCCTTCTATTTTTATTATTTTTAAATATTCAGCGGTTTTTCACATGAGAAGACTGAGATCTAGCCCCTAGGCCAGGGTGGCACCGAAGAGAAATTGTTTTTTTTTTATAAACTCAAAAAAAACTTTTGTAAAAGTCAAAAAAAATTTTATTCCAACCTTGGCTGATCCAACCATAGCGCATTGGAGCGCATTGCAACTCTATGGGTTAATAATTTGTTCATTTTGTTTAGGGGCGTGGTTTCAATACGGGAGTTATGTTGCTGGATCTCAATAAACTCCGAGAATTGAACTGGATGTCGATTTGGCGTCTGACCGCTGAACGAGAGTTGAGCACCTTTTTGGCGACGTCGTTAGCGGACCAGGTACGTTTGCTCCACTAGCTTTCGTGTTGAATTTCTCTTTTAATACTTGTTCGTATATGAGAAGTTACATCGTACACTCGAAGTCGTGATACCTAGACAATAGAGCGTTTGCAATGGCGTTTGCACATGACGTCACAGCCGACATGTTGGTGTTCCAATAGACAATTCCCATTATAGACTAATTTTTTTAATAATTTAATTTTTTTTAATTCTACTTCTTATTGTTATGTATAAATTGGGCGAAAAAATTTTTTTTAAAAATTATCTTGGCAAAAAAAGTGCTGTATATTGATATTTCCGGAAAGAGCATACTAAAATGAGTAAAATTGCAAAGTTTGGTTGCGAAATGTTGTAAAATGCGGAAAATATAGCTTTGCAAAGTTCGCAAATTTTGTATACTTTTGTAGTGCGTGCGGAAATTGCTACCACATTTGGGCCGAAAATGGTAGCGATTTCCGCACGCAATACAAAAATATACAAAATTTGCAAACTTTGCAAGGCTATATTTTCGCATTTTACAACATTTCGCAACCAAATTTTGCAATTTTACTCATTTTAGTATGCTCTTTCTAGCTGTGGTGATTTATTTGCATCTCCTTGCCTAGTTTCAAAATTAGTCTATAATGGTAATTGTATATTATTATTATTAATGAGTATTATCATTTTTTTGTAGGATATTTTCAACGCCGTAATAAAGAAGCATCCTTACCTAGTCCAAAAGTTACCATGTGGTTGGAATATTCAACTCAGTGACAATATGCGAAGCGAGGTACCGCATACACTATTTAAGAGGCAATTTTTTTCAATGTCACGTATTTGCAATGAAAAGCGTTCAAAACCTAAATCGTTTTGGCGTTCCTTTCAAAATTATTTTGTTTTAGCTTTATTCTCTAGTCTATACAGTTAGCAACCTTTTTAAATGCATCTGCCGGTTGAGAAACATAAAATAATAGTCAAAAATTGTCAATTAAGATATATTATCAATGATGCTTTAAAATTGACGCCATGTTTACAGCCATATAAAGCCAAACTTACTGAACATCAGACGTCATTTTCTCTTTGGCGTATCATCTAAAACCTTTTCATTTTAGCATTATTTTACAGATAAAGCACTAAACATACTTTTTAAGTTTGTTTGCCGATTGAGAAACGTATTGAAAAATAGAAATTTGAATTTAGTCATAACCTCAAGTGGTATATTATACACATTAATTTTGAGCGCGTATTACGTAACATACAAAAAAAAATCTCCTCTTAACAAAAATATAAGATTTTGCCGTTGTCTGTGCAGTTATAGATACACAGTATGACGTCATAATGTGGAAAGAACAAAAAAGTCGGGAGCCGCCGAGGCGAGTGGGTCACTTTTTTGTCCCCCCACACACACACACATGGCCTGACCAGTCGGACCCGAATTCTTTTCTCTGTATCAATGGAAAGATCTGGTCTATGTTTCTCAAATATCTAGCGAAAATGGACCTCATTCTAATGTTATCGAAATTTTCCGGTCAGATAGGTCCGAAGCCCAAATGTTTTGTGTTTCATTCAACAATTTGACCGTTCTGACCGGTCTGACCGTGTTAATGGAAAGCGCCCCATGTAGCGAACTGGGCTCATTACAGAGCTTTACGAAGCCAAAGCGAACATTGACATTTTTGTGATGGGTCACGTGCATGGCTCACAAGCATGCGAGAGAAAAACAGTGAGAAATCAGTGAGAGAAATTTGTGTTTTATTATTACTAAAGTTATTATTATAAAGTTATTATTATTTTGGTATTGTGAATTGCCCTGGATACCCCCCAAGGAGGCGATAATTCAGGACATCTATAACTGAACAGACAACGGCAAAATCTTATCTATTTGTTTTATATAATAAAAAGAAAAAAACCCGAATTAAACAGGTGAATATCTTACTTTTTATCCACCCAAACATTTGGAAATATGAAAATGTCGAAATTTTACAAATATCACGCGTACGTGATCTATACAATAAGGGAATGCTAGTATTGGCTACCTTAATTATGACGTAATTCCGTGCGTTTGTCTTCTAATAGATCATGGCTCTCGACCAATGAAAGCGCTTGAATTCTTAACGTTATTATATAAATAATTTTTTATCTTTACTACTAATTTGCAAAGTATACATTGAAGGGTTTTTGTTGGTGGAAGTTTGGCGCTAAAATTATATGCATTTTAGTTACATTATTTCCCTATTTGTTTTAGTCGATAGAAACCTGCTATGCCGAGGTATCCAATCTCAAGGTTAGTGTCCTGCCTGTACACGCGTTGAGATCTCGCAGCTTGTCAACAAGACGTGTTCGCACTGCTTGTTCCCTGTTGTAGTGACAAGTCTGGAACACATCCTGATATCGACTTGACAACAACCTTGTTACAACTTGTTTGCAGACTATATATAATAATCTGATCTGTAAAAACTTGCGCGTTTTTACCTGTGTACTGTACTTCGTGTATGTACATTATTAGTGTTTTGGAGTACACACACAAAAATCTCACATCTTGTAGCAAGTCAGTCAACAAGTTGTGTTCGCACTGCTTGTCCCAATTAAGTTGTCAACAAGTATGGAACAAGCTGTGAACAGTTGTAACAACCTTGTTGATATTATCAGACTTGTTGCATATACAATTACTTTATGGTTTCCGTGTTTGGATGGCCTGATCCAAACACGCGGGAATGTTGCGAGAGTTGAGAAAAGTGGGCGAACACGAGCCAAAGGCGAGTGATTTTGCGCGCTTTTCTTAACTCGAGCAACATTCCCAAGTGTTTGGATCAGGCCATCCAAACACGGAAACCGTAAAGTAATTGTTTTATAAAATAACAACGACACGATAGTCTTCCGTGTTTGGATGGCCAGTGGCCTGATCCAAACACGGGTTTCGACCAATCAGAGCACGCGTTATATACATGTTATTTTATAGAGATTGTTCCAACAAGTCTGATACAGTCATGATATAACAATATTGTTACAACGTTGTGTCGTCAACCTTGTAACATTCTTGTTATATCATGACTGTATCAGACTTGTTAGAACAACCTTGTAGCAACTTAAATTGTTACGAACAGCCTGTATTGACTGTATTAGTCTTGTTGGAACAACTTGTAGCAAGTCTGTTGCCGTCATCAATCTTGTAACAAGATGATACCAACTTGTTCCAGACTTGTCACAACAACTGGGAACAAGCAGTGCGAACACATCCTCCAGGTGATCTCGTGTTCGCATTTTAGCCAATCAGCGCTCAGAAAGGGTTGTCCGGATAGAAATCCATTTTGATGTATTCAGTCAATTATATCTTTCGTTATTCTTTATGAAACTAGTTGAAATTTTGTAATTATGTTTGCTTATGAGAACTATAGCTCTGACAAAAATATGGAATCAAAATAAAGTATATTACAGGACTGATATTCAGTTGTTTTAATCATAAAATGGATTTGTATTTGACAACTAGTGCCAGTACTTTCCCGCGTATCAAGATCATCTGGCTGATATCGACTTCACAACAATCTACAAACTCTATACTTGTAGATAAATTTTCTTATATTTCTTTTGCATTCCTTGTAATGGCTATATAGGTTATTCACTGGAATTCGCCGAAAAAATTAAAAGTGAAAAATTCTCACGCGGAATTTCTGCGAAATCATTATCTCACATTCTTGGAATATGATGGAGATTTATTGAGGTAAAAATGATTTGTTGGAGCAGGATGGTTGCTTCCAAATATGTCATGCGTATTTTGAAATCGTAAATCTTGTTTTCAGAGGGCGATTGTTCAGTTGTATGAAAGCCGACGAAGCTCGATCATCTGTTCTTAAGGTTTGTACTTTAGAAATTCATACGAGATTGAGATTTTTGCGTGTGTATAACTGTATGTTTATGAGCAGCAGTGTTTTATCAGATAAAAAGATACGAGGCGAAGCCTAGTATCTTTAGGTCTGATAAAACATGCACAGCGAATATTTTAAATTGCTTCAAAAACGATCGATCTAGTAAGTTCATTGGCGAAGTAATAAAAAAAATAAAAGGGGGGGGGGATAAAAAAAGAAGTAATTTTCAAAAAATACGTTGTGTAAGTCGAGAAAATCAAAGTTAAAGTTTATGTAAATCAAGGGAAATCTCCATCACACATAAAGATACGACACGCTTATGATTTTTCTTTGTGTTTTCCTCATGAATTATTAATGAGTTTTTGAATGTTGTTCAGAGTCTTGACGAAGATGATCCGTGTTATGATGTTCGTCGTGAACGATTGTTGACCCGCAGAACGCATTTGTACTACCTCAAATATGACTTTATCAAGGTACGATAGGCCGATTAGGGGAAGGAAATTCATTAATTGGATCTTGATTGACTTATCGATTGAGTCGTTGATCAATTTATTAATTGTTTGATTATTGATTGATTATTTTTTAAGTAATTAATTGATCGATGATTGGTTGACTATTGGTTGAGTACTTAATTGATTGATGATTGATTATGGTTGAGTAATTAATTGATTGATTATTGGTTGAGTTATTAATTGATTGACAATTGATTGATTATTGGTTGAATAATTAATTGATTGATTATTTGGTTGAGTACTTAATTGATTGATTATTCGTTGAGTTATTAATTGATTGATGATGATTGATTATTAGTTGAATAATTAATTGACTGGTTATTGGTTGAGTACTTAATTGATTGATGATTGACTGATTATTGGTTGAGTTATTAATTGATTGATGATTGATTGATTGTTGGTTGATTAATTGATTGATTATTGCTTGAGTACTTAATTGATTGATGATTAATTATCGATTGATTAAATTAAGTCAATGTTAATTGCCTGAGTGATTAATTGAATTATTAGTTGATTAATTGATAGATTGTTTGATCAAGTCACCAACTCACTATAATTCCAAACTTTCTCCGCAGCATGATGAGTATGACGTCACACTGGTTGCTCAGTTGTCCATGGACAGATTACAAATGATCGAAGCAATTTGCAAACAATGGAAAGGTACTTGAAAACACAACATCAAATTTCACTTCTGTCGTACTGTATTAGTTAAAAAGTTGGGCAGTTTATTTTAGTTCAGAGTAGATTGCATCAATTTTACCGATCATTTCCCCCCTGATTTTTCCGTTATGGATTCACTACTGTATTTACTGTGTTATTTATATAATTATCTTCATAATTAATTTAAATTAATTGATAATTATTAATTCCGTTTCTAGGTCCCATAAGCTTTGCATTATATCTGTCAGACTCCGAAGCGATGCAGTTTCTTGATTATGCTCAGTTTTCAAATATTTTGAAGAAAAGAAAGAATGTTGCCTATCATCTTGTGTTCAAAGACGGGGTAGGTTAATACTGGATCAATATGTCATGAGATGATTCTTACTGGACCTCTAGAGAAAACAGTGATTACAGTGTAGAACTTAGTTTAAGTTTCCTCCTGTAGTAACACTGGATCAATAAGAGATGATCCTTACTGGACCTCTAGGAAGAACAGTTTAGAACTGATAGAGCTATCCAGTATAAATAAAGTTAGTTTAGTTTAGGTTTCCTCCTGTAGTAACACTGGATCAATACGAAAGATCCTTACTTGACCTCTAGGGAGAACAGTTCAGGACTGATAGAGCTATCCAGTATAAATAAACTTAGTTTAGTGTAAGGTGAAAGCCAGTCGCAGCAACTAATAAAGAAACAATTAAATTCAAAATCATGTTTATTTTATTTAGACGTTTTATCCAGTTAACGCTCTACGTAATATCGCGCTGACGAACGCCAGAACACCGTACGTATTTCTGAGTGACATAGACTTTGTCCCACCTGATACTCTTTATGACTATCTCAGGTAAGCTGGTATCAATTTGTAGGGTTGGGGGGCCATTTATATGATACCTCTTTAAAACGTAGCACTTAATATTTGTAAAATAAAAATTAGCTGTTTTAAATTCTGATACATTTATGTCAATTGTATTCGAATCTTTAATTGCAGACAAATTATTCGAACCACAGACATGACGAAAAAGGTACGAAAAGTTTTCAATTTTATCAACAGTTTTAGCTGAGTAACTATAACTAAGGGAAGCCTCACATATCGATTTTGTCCATGAGAAACGTCATATGTTCGTTTCTCTGGAGACCCCCCCCCCACCCCCCCTTAGAAACGTCACACATAGTTATCGATATTTTGTTCTTATAGTACACATAAGGTAATTTTCTACTATTTTTTTCGGTCGGCTATTGGCGATACTTCCGCGAGGAATATGTCATCTTCTGCTGACATACTCTAGTATTAATATATATGTGAACTTCAAAATTTCCAACGTTTCTCAAAACAACTTTTTTGCATGAAATATTGATAATTTTAGCGCGTATTTCTTGAAATATGAGAGAAACAGAGAAACGTCACAGCTGCCAACCCCCCCACCCCCAAACGAACATATGACGTTTCTCGTGGAAAAAATCGATATGTGAGGCTTCCCTAAAGCCTATTTGACAACATCAAAGTTTCTGTGATCACAGTAGGAATTTTGCATGGGTAAATTCTAAGTTTTGAAGGATTTGTGAAATGTACGGTACCCATCTTGAAATAACGAGTTGACCGGCACGACCAGTTTCGTTTGACGAGATTCGAATGTAAACAATATAGCCGCTTTGATTTCCCATGGATTTAAAAGGCGCCATTACACTAGCAAAGTTTCTGTCATCACAGTAGGAATTGTGCATAGGTAAATTCTAAATTTTGAAGGATTTGTAAGAAATTGTCAAGAAAACTGACTCACTGTTAAACAATGAGTCAGTTCTCAAAACGTAGAATTTACCCATGCAAAATTCCTATACTCATTCAAGACAATAGACAATTCTCATTATAGACTAATTTTAAAACTAGACAATGAGATGCAAATTAATCACCACAGCTAGAATGAGCATACTAAAATGAGTAAAACTGCAAAGTTTGGTTGCGAAATGTTGTAAAATGCGGAAAATATAGCCCCTATGGCAAAGTTTGTATACTTTTGTATTGCGTGCGGAAATTGCTACCATTTTCGGCCCAAATGTGGTAGGAATTTCCGCACGCAATACAAAAGTATACGGAATTTGCAAACTTTGCAAGGCTATATTTTCCGCATTTTACAACATTTCGCAACCAAACTTTGCAATCTTACTCATTTTAGTCCGCTCTTTCCGGGAATATACTTTTTATTGCCAAGATAAAAAAATAGTCTATAATGGGAATTGTCTATAATCATTCCATCTTACAGGCCTTAGTTGTGCCGGCTTTCGAGACGCTTCGCTACAAACTTTCGATACCAAAAACAAAAGCTGAACTGCTCTCAAAGTTGGACGAGGGTCTGTTGTATACATTCAGATATCATGTTTGGCCCAAGGGACATGCGCCGACCAATTATGCAAAATGGAGGACTGCTATCAAACCTTATAAGGTAAAAATTTAAAAGTTGCTTGAACACAGTGTAATGGACCTAATACCTAATGAACAAAATTTTAATCTAGACAAGTCTAGACAAACATTTCACCACAGCTTGAAAGAGTATCACAAAATTAGTAATATTCCGAAGTTTCGTTGCGAAATGTTGTAAAATGCGTTTTGTGATGCTCTTTCAAGGCGTGATAAAATTTTTGTCTAGATCAAAATTTTGTTCATTAGGTAATAGGTTCATTAACGTACTCGGAAGACTCGAAAGTTAACTAAATCAACTTTATTTATATTGGGTAGCTCTATCAGTTCTAAACTGTTCTCCCTAGAGGTCCAGTAAGGATCATCTCTTATTGATCCAGTGTTACTACAGGAGGAAACCTAAACTAAACTAACTTTGTTTATACTGCATAGCTCTATCTGTTCTAAACTGTCTCCCTAGATGTCAACAAGTTCGTAACAAGCTATTAACAGCTTGCAGCAACCTTGTTATATTATAATACTTGTTGCAAGGTTGTGTCGTCAATCTTGTAACATTCTTGTTATATCATGACTGTATCAGACTTGTTAGAACAACCTTGTGACAAGTCTGATAATGCCATCAAGCTTGTTACAAGTTGTTAACAGCTTGTTCCAAACCTGTTGCAACAACTGGGAACAAGCAGTGCGAACACATCTTGTGAACAAATTTGTAACAACTTGTGTGTACACACGTAAAAATCTCACAACTTGTCAACAAGATGTGTTCGCAACAGGCTTGTAGCAAGCTTGTCAACAGGTTGTAGCAATGCTGTTATTTTATCAAGTTGCTGCAAGGTTGTCACTCGCAACTTGTTGACAAATTGTGAATTGCAGGACGATAACAAGTTGTTGGACCAACTTGTAACAAGTCTGTTGAGCTCAACAACCTTGTAGCAAGTTGTCAACAAGCTGGGAACAAGCAGTGCGAACACATCCTGTTGACAAGTTGTTGGAACAGCATTGCTACAAGTCTGCTGCGAGTTTAATACAACTTGTGCGTTTTTACGTGTGTAGGGTACAACAGTTCATATATGAAGTTTTAAACGAATTCTTAGGTGCTGTGGGAGGAGGATTTTGAACCGTACATCGTTGTGAAGAAAGACATTCCAAAATACGATACGAGATTCGTGGGATTTGGCTGGAATAAAGTTTCGCACGTCATGGAAGTAGCTGTACAGGGGTACGTTTCACTTACTACGTAAATATAATTGTTTTCATTTGTAAAAAAACACCATGTTTATTGTCTTAGCAAAGCTCTGGTTGTTCGTCACATGTCGTAGTGTTTCAACAAAGAAGATAATCAATTTTGATTTTAGTTTCGAATTTGAAGTTCTTCCAAATGCGTTTATCGTCCACATGCCTCATGGTCCTTCGTTGGACATCGCAAGACATCGAAACACCGAACAATATCGAAGGTATTTGTTGGTGGTGCTACTGTTGTTGTTGTTGTTGTTGTTGTTGTTGTCGTTGTCGTTGGTATCGGCTGTTGTTGCTGCCGGTTGCTGTTGTTGTTGTACCCTGGGTACGAGGTTGGTTGTTGTTATCGTTGGTGTCGGCTGTTGTTGTTGCTGTTGTTGTTGTTGTTGTTGTTGCCGGTTGTTGTTGTTGCTGTTGTTGTTGCCGTCGGTTGCTGTTGTTGTTGTTGTTGCCAGTTGCTATGTTGTTGTTGTTGCTGTCGTTGTGTTTTGTAGTAGTTGTTGTTGTTGTTGTTGTTGTTGTTGTTGTTGTTACGTATTGTTCCGTTGTGCCATGACAAAACAAACCACTAACAAAAATCAATCTACTTTCAGGTGTATGAAAATCCTAAAAGCTGAGTTTATGGACGAGCTCAGAGTGAAATATGGAGCTCAGCAAGTCGATCAAGCTGTAGCTATGGATTGAAGGACAGAATTTGTTTTCTACCTCCCTCGATTTACGTGACAAAGTGCAAGCTTCACGTGAGAAGGTAAATGTTTCACGTGAAAAGGAAAAGTATCACGCGAGAAAATTGGACGTGATAAGATGGAAAGTTTCATGTAGCAAGCCGAGAATTTCACGTTGCAAGTGTGGATTCACGTCACAAAATGGCAGTTAAATCACGTGGCAAGGTGTAAGGAGAAAATTCAGGGCCTCGCATACACACGCAACATGTTCGCACTGCTTGTTCCAAGTTGTAATCAAGCTTGTTACAAGTTGTTAACACCTTGTAACAAGCATGTTGATACAGTTCCTGTAACAAGTTTGGAACAAGCTGTTAACAACTTGTAACAAGCTTGATGGCATTATCAGACTTGTTACAAAGTTGTTCTAACAAGTCTGATCTGATACAGTCATGATATAACAAGAATGTTATAGGGTTGACGACACAAGGTTGCAACAATATCATTATATCATGACTGTATCGGACTTGTTGGAACAACCTTGCTACAAGTCTGATAATATCAACAAGCTTGTTACAAGCTGTTTAAAGAACTTGTACAATATTGTTATATCATGACTGTATCAGACTTGTTGGAACAACCTTGCTACAAGTCTGGTAGGGAACCAGGGGCGGATCCAGCCCCCAAACTGACCGTGGCTCCTAAATTAAAGCACGCATAACTAGGGGGGTTCCGGGGGCATGCCCCCCCGGAAAATTTTTGAAATTTGAAGCCCGGAAACACCATTTCCTGCAATCTGAGCGGCGTATTTCCTCCTCAAATTTCGGTCTATGGACGGCGAAGCATGGCCATCATTTGCTTTTGGTGCTACCAAAAGTGATATTAAATATATCAACAGTTTGGGTAGGATAGTATGATTGAATTGTAAGCCAATTACCGTCGCTAAGGTAAACATCATCAACGTGAATTCGTAATTATGCGCATTATGCATTGCTTCTTCAGTAGGCTAACTGCTGCTG